GGGCCAAACACACATTTGCTCATGTGAAGAGGATGTTTTTTAAGCACGTTAAGTTAGCCTGGTTTACATAATAAATAATAGTTTTGCATTCAAATACATCGCAAATATGGACACATTTAATTGGATTAATGCCTGAATGAGAGAGGTAGGCTGTGCGAGAACGCCATTTGCTTTCAGTTTCGCATTGAATTAGCCAGCCTAATTCGTTTTGGCTTGTTTAGCAACTTAAGTTTTTCATTCTTGTTTTCTTCTGAAACCGTTCAAAATAGCCTATAGGCTAGGTATTGTGTTTATTGTTTGTATATTATAACATTTCGCTTTATTTACCGGTGTTATTTATGAATGTAATAATGCGGTTTGTGCTTATCTGTGTTTAACCTAAACTAGGCTACAACGTAACATTATATAGACCTATACCGGTATCTAAATATGATTTTATAATTTTATGCCATATAGACCTACCACATTACCCTCCACTGGATGTAGAATGAGCAGCAATAAACTACATTTTGGCATTTTGTAATACTTATGTGGATATTTTGGTGAAAGTAACTCAAAAGTAGACAGATACTGTAAGTCTGTTGACATATCTACACATTCATTTGAGTGTAACGGAAAATTCAAAATCTCTAATTAACAGCCAATGTATAAAACCAAGTCCATGTACAAAATTTTGTTTCATTTTATTTAATCTGTCACATTCAGATGTAGCCTACGTCGTAATATGGAATAAAAGATCTGTCTCTACTTCCGTTTCATCACAACTTTTAGTGTATAGTACCGGAGCACTCAGTACTACTGATAATTGTTTTTCTTCTGGCACTTCTGAATTATGCTGATAAAATGAAACTAGATATTCACCACCACAGCAACCTGAAATGGTTATTATTAAATATTTGAATCACTTATAGACAGCTGCATTGGTTATATCTGTTTTGTTTTATTTTTACAAGGGTAAATCATAGAGCTTAGATACACACTGCTCTGCAGGAGCTGGACTGTGCTGTAAGTGAAAGAGTTATTCATGTTGAGTGTTTAATGGAGCTGAGTTTAACAGAAAATAAATTACCTCATGCTTTCCAAAACAGATTTATCCAGTTATAATAGAGCCATGAAAAAGAAGCCATTCGATTAACATTACAATAGTGTTCATGCGTAGACAATCCCTCCAACTGTACAAATTATTATGTAGATTATTTTCATTACAACACACAAACAAGCCATGTATGTGTATTTCCACACTGAATGTATAGTGTCAGGAACACAATGCACACTGAGACAGGCAGAGGCTCTTATTCAGACACACTGACATGATTGACTGCTGTTTTGCTAAGAATTGCTTTGCTGGCTTGTACAGGCATGGTCTCACCATTCACACATCCAGTTCACTGTTCCAGTATTGGGTCAATTCTATCAATTCTATTGTAAATGTAAATAGACAAGGACAGGTGCTACTTTGATGTATGCCTATGTATTAAAGGTTTATAGATTGTGAATAGTGGAATATGAGGACTGGCGTTGATCTGACTATCTCCCTCCACTAACATCATTTTGATCTATGTATTAGCCTTGGAGGCATCTTGCAGGCACACTCTTATTTAAATTCTTTTTTTCAGCTAAATGCATTTTTCATCATGATTCACAATTGTAGGCTAATAATAATCCATATAACTTGTATTACATCAGCTATAAATTTAGCTATGCAACAAGCTAAAACATGATTACATCTGTTTCTTGGTTGTGAAGCTTCCTCTTTATTTTAAACTTCTTTTAATTCCAGCAAATTTGTCTTTGCTTCTGCAAGGACGAATGAGCTGTCCTACCTGTCTCCCTGTAGCACTGTCTAGGCATCTTACATTACGGGCATTGCAGTTTATTGCTCTGGTCACATCTGCAGTCTGCTACCTCCCTGCAGCAGGTCTATGGCATGTTGATGCAGGTGAGAAGGAAGTTGGGTATCTGCTGGGAAAATATCGTTTTCATGTAAATTCAAGCATGGTACTGTAATAGGATGCTATCTTTGCAATAAGTCAGTTTCATCATTTCATCAGTCTCACATCAAGTACAATGCCAAGCATCGAATGGATTGGTGTAAAGCAGGGGTCTCCAACCTTTTTTCATTTGAGAGCTACTTTTTACATAACATGTAAACATGGTATAATACATGTTTAAATGTGCTAGAAATGTTCAAAAAGTACTGGTAGCTTGCGAGCGATGTGTTGGAGACCCCTGGTGTAAAGCATGCTGCCACTGGACTCTGGAGCAGTAATGGAGCGCTTCTCTGTTTGGCATGAGTCTGGGTTTGGAAGATGCCAGGAAAATGTTACCTTCCTGTCTGCACTGTGCAAACTGTAAAGTTTGGTAGGGAGGGCTGAATATTGGTATGGGGCTGTTCTTCAGGGGTTAGGCTAGGCCCCTTACTTCCAGAAGGAAAATCTTAATGCTTTAACATACCAAGACATTTTGGAAAATGCTAAGCTTCTAACTTTGTTGGAAGAGATGGCCCTTTCCTATTTCAACATGACTGTGTCCCTGCACACAAATCCAGGTCCATAAAGACATGGTTGGATGGGTTTGGTGTGGAAGAACTTGAGCCCTGACCTCGACGCCATCAAATGATGTTTTATTAGCAAAGTTCAGGAGGAGCATCTTCAGATAATCAACTTTATTAGAACAATAGTAAATATATATAGAGCCAACTTACCTCTGAGATTGCGAGCCAGGCCTTCTCATCCACCATCAGTGCCTGACCTCACAAATGCTTAGATGGTCTTTCTGTAGATGGTATTTTTGTAATGGGGAAATTATTAGATTTATGACTACAAAGGCAGTTCCTCTATGTGCCGTGCTGCAGTGGGCTCTACTGCAAGCCATCACTTTGAAACAGCGGGTAATTGGGAGTTGCAAAGAGAAAATTTACAGTTGGGTTAGTTTAGGCTCTTAGCATGTTTAGTGCCAAAACAGCTGGTTTATAAAATACTCTCTTGTGACTTGGAAACCCCACTGGGCTGCTGCAGCACAGAAGACTATGACTGTCACTGTGTATCTACTACTGAAAGCAGGAAGCTAGATCACAACTTAGACCTTCAGCTCCTCTGGTGGCAGTTACCCAGAGTAGGAGGAGAGGTCAGACCTAGCACCTGGGGCAGATTAGTAATTGTGAGTATATTGAGAACTCAGGTTATATACAGTTGAGGTCAAAAGTTTACATCCCCCTTTCAGAATCTGCAAAATGTTAATTATTTTACCAAAATAAGAGGGATCATACAAAATGCAGGTTATTGTTTATTTAGTACTGACCTGAATAAGATTTCACATAAAAGATGTTTACATATAGGGCACAAAGTAACACACGTGGTTTGAATATTTCCACACGTGCTAGCATAACCAAATTTACAGCATTTACTAGTTACCATATCAACATTACATAGAGAAACAAAGTGCACCAAAATTCAAAAGTTTTTTGAAGATATCGCTGAACATTTATTTTACCATAGTAAAATTATATTTCTGGCTTAAGTAAATTTTTCATCTCAGTTTTTATTACTCATTTAAAATTAGACAAATCTGCTATTATTTTAGATCTCCAATCTGTTATTTATCAGTTTAGATTATTTTTTAATGCTTCGCAAACTATCAGAAGACAGTAACCGGTTTTAAATTCCAGTTGCACAGATGGGGTATGTTGTAACACTGCGTTACAATGTGCCCTGCTGTGCTATTCTATGACATTAGCGATGCAATTCACACTATTTACTTTAATAAATTGTAATGATAAACAACGAGAAACAGGTGAATAAATACTGACAGTCAATGTTTAATGTTAAGAAATTATTATTTCAAGACATGTAAAGCATTTTGGCTCGCTTATGTGGGCCGTCCCAAGCATGGTTGCAATGTGTTCATTGTCAAACTCCAAAATCAGATTATTTTTAATTATTAAAAAACGCCATTATTTTATTTGAAATAAATAATTATTTTATTTTATTGACAAAATATTTTAGTTTGTCTTGTATATTTTTTCATGCGATCAGATAACATTTTAAGCTGTCATATGGTCATGTTACAACATGCCCCTCAGCTGTTACAAAGTACCTGTTACGGAAGGAGACTCACACAGAAGATTAGAAAAATAGCAATACTTTTATTTTCAACACTGAGTGCAGGAGATTCGGTGAGGTGAGTAATAGCGCTGAATATAGTCCTTTAAGGGAGAGGAGGAGAGTAACCCTGTCACTGGTCCTCCAGGAGATCGTGGAATCGGGGATAGAGGACAGCACACACCTCCGCTGGTGGGTAAACGGAGCTTTCACGGAGTGGATGACTGGAACGCACTGGGGAATGGAACACAGGAGCACACAATGGAGGTAGCACAGGAGGTAAGTATATCAAGAAGGGAAGTCTTTCGATGGATCTCACGGATAGAATAGAGAGGGAGTCCACTTCGTAGAAATGAGACCGGACACTGGAGTGGTGTGAGATGTGTGCTTATGAATGGTGACTGATGATGATTGCCAAGTAGTGACAGGTGCGTGTGATCAGTATTCAGGTGAAGGTGTTCGCTGTGATTGGGAGGTGGCTGAGCCTGGCCGATCCGTGACAGTACCCCCCCCCTCCACGGCCCGCTCCTGAGGGCCGAAAACCCCGACACGGTGGTGGTTTACCTCTTCCTTGGGTCCCAGAGCGATCTGGATGAGTGGAGTGAAAGGCTTCCAGTAACGTGGGATCGAGGATGTCAGAGACGAGCGCCATCCTTTAGCATGGGTTCACAACCTGGTTTTGGAGGGCTGATGGTGTCTGGCCGACGAAGGAGTGGAGTGTATGGTGGAAGTTGCTGTTCCGCAATGCAAGATTGCATATGAGTGGCACAGCGAATGGATAATTGTATAAACCGTTCCAAGCCATAGGAATCATCGTAGGCTGCGAGCTAAAGTTGCACCTTTGGCTCCAGTCCTTGCCAGTAGGTGGTCAGAAGAGCGCGTTCATTCCAGCCGCTGGCTGCTGCGAGGGTTCTGAACTTTAGGGCGCAATCATTAATGGACAGAGACCCTTGACGGAGATTATATAACTGGTCACAGACAGAGGTATCCCCTATGGGTCTACCAAATACTTCTCGGAAATGTGCAAGAAAATTATCAAGGGATTGAGTCACAGTACCGGCTTGGGACCAGATGGTCTCTGCCCATTGAAGTGCCCGTCCCGTCAGCAGTGATATGATGAATGCTATCTTAGCACTTTCCTTGGCGTACAGATGTGGCTGCATCTCCAGTGCGAGTGAGCATTGCAGCAGAAATCCGTTGCACTCCTCCGCCGAGCCAGAGAAGGGCCCTGGTCTGGCCATGGGACCGGTAAGTACTGTTGTGGAAGAGGAAGCGGCGTTGGTGACAGGCGTGACAGGTGGTGTGACAATGGCCGGGGTGAGTATCCATTTGAGGGCATCCACGATCTCCTGGAACTGGTCGGATGCACTCATCTTGCTGATCCTTTGCGGTTTGGTCTTCTGTTACGGAAGGAGACTCACACAGAGGATTAGAAAAATAGCAATACTTTTATTTTCAGCACTGAGTGCAGGAGATTCGGGGAGGTGAGTAATAGCGCTGAATATAGTCCTTTAAGGGAGAGGAGGAGAGTAACCCTGTCACTGGTCCTCCTAGAGATTGTGGAATCGGGGATAGAGGACAGCACACACCTCCGCTGGTGGGTAAACGGAGCTTTCATGAGTGGATGACTGGAACGTACTGGGGAATGGAACACAGGAGAACACAATGGAGGTAACACAGGAGGTAAGTATATCAAGAAGGTAAGTCTTTCGATGTAGCTCACGGATAGAATAGAGAGGGAGTCCACTTCGTAGAAACGAGACCGGACACTGGAGTGGCGTGAGGTGTCATGAGGTGCTTATGAATGGTGGCTGATGATGATTGCTAAGTAGTGACAGGTGCGTGTGATTAGTATTCAGGTGAAGGTGTTCGCTGTGATTGGGAGGTGGCTGAGCCTGGCCAATCCATGACATCTTTTCACACTGAGGATGACTGAGGGACTCATATGCAACTATTACAGAAGGTTCAAATGCTCACTGATGCTCCAGAAGGAAAAGCCATGCATTAAGAGACAGGGGTGAAGACTTTTGAACAGAATGGAGATGTGTAAATTTTTCTTAATGATGCCTATCCACAGCAATGATTAGAAACCGATATATTTTGTTTATCAAGATGAAATTATCATCTTGATTTTTATTTTGGGGAAAAAATAATAAAAGCACACCCATGACTTGATGAGATATTAATATTGAAAATTTTAATTCCAATGTTACTTGTGAACCTTAATGTAATGAGCCATTTATTAATGATTTATAAACGTTAATAACTTGTGAACGTGAACCTTAATGTAAAGTGAACATCTGTGAACCAGTTATTTATGAATTATAAATGTTAATAACGTCTAAAAATGAACCTTAATGTAAAGTGATCACATGTGAACCATTTATTAATGAGCTATAAACGTTAATAACCTGTAAAAGTTAACCTTAATGTAAAGTGAACACCTGTGAACCATTTATTAATTATCTATAAACGTTAGTAACCTGTAAAAGTGAACCTTAATGTAAAGTGAACACCTGTTAACCATTTATTAATGAGCTATAAACGTTAGTAACCTGTAAAAGTGAACCTTAAAGTAAAGGGAACACCTGTGAACCATTTATTAATGAGTTCTGAACATCATTAACCTGTGAAAGTGAACTTTAAAGTAAAGTGGACACACTAATCATTTATTAATTATTGATGCACACATAGAAGGTTTTTTTTCTTGGTTAAATGTATTTTATTGACTATATCAGTAAACAAAACTACTTAAAGAACATTACTGTGCATAACTGCACATGGAAAGTGGGTTATACAAGTAAACTCACATTAAACAATTCAGAAACACAATAAAGTATTCCAGCAAATTATAACTAAGCACCAAAAAATATACATATTTATATTTTATCTAATTTAGGAGTTTTGAGTTAATAATTAAATAAATGATTGAAAGCACAGTTACAGAACATAATCATATTAATAAGCAAACAGTAATTACTTTTTGATATCATGATAAAGCCCACTGTAACTTCAGTATTTGTTCATCCAATTTTTTCTAATTTAGGAGTTTTGAGTAAATAATTAAATAAATGATTGAAAGCACAGTTACAGAACATAATCATATTAATAAGCAAACAGTAATTACTTTTTGATATCATGATAAAGCCCACTGTAACTTCAGTATTTGTTCATCCACACTCGCAGCAACGTTACCTGTGCGCAAACGAACCATCCACGGGAGCGCCAGAGCGGTTATTTATTTGTATGGTAACGAATTAATTCAACTAGCAAAGCGATTACACATATAAACACTTGAACAATATACTCTGCAGTGTCACCTCACAGTTAGCTGACCCGTAAAATGAATAAACACTATGTGAAACTATAATTTCGCTTCAGAGCACGTTGGAACAATCCTAACGGTGTGACTTCTTCTTCTTTGAAAACGTGACTTTACATCAGATACTCACTAGCACCATTCACAGGCTTTGGTGACACACAGGCAACTACAGACACACAGGCTTTGGTGATGTGATCCTTTTTTATTTCCAAAATGTAACATTAAAATAAATAAAGAATCACACATTTGCACACCAGAAAGGATCAGAAATTGTATAACAACCTATCATTTACATGAATGGCTTGTAAGATGGCGCCGACGCTGATGGCTGCCTCCGTGGTGTGCACCGCAGTTGTTTTTATGTTTTTGTTCGTTTGTCCTGTCTTTAGTTATATCCCTGCAATCAGTTTCACCAGAGACTAATTGCTGGACATTCGGAAGTACACACCACCCGATATTTCACCGGTTTTCAATTATTCTGATGTTTTGCTGGACATTGTTGTCGGAGGAGCTGCGGCGCTGATCAAACGCTTCAGGACACGCAGACGGGGGAAGCGAGCCGGCGCGCTCGTGAAGCTCAGACAGCGCGGATTCAGAACGCTGTTGCCAAGCATCCATCTGGCGAACCTCCGCTCTCTACCCAACAAAACGGACAAACTTCTTCTGCTCTCCCGGACAAATAAGGATTTTTCAAACTCTGCTGCTCTGTGTTTCATGGAAATCTGGCTGAAAGATGCCATTCCGGACAGCGCGTTGAGTCTCCCGGGCTTTCAGCTGTTTAGAGCAGATCACGGCGCAGAATCAATGGGGAAATCACCCGGCTGCGGGACATGCTTTTACATCAATGAGAGGTGGTGTACAGATGTAACTGTGTTAAAGAAGATGTGCTGTTCAGATCTAGAAGTGCTCTTCATTAATTGCAAGCCGTTCTATTCGCCGCGGGAGTTTTGCTCGTTCATTCTCGTAAGTGTGTACATTCCTCCGCAAGCACACGTGAGCACTGCTTTACAGAAACTCGCTGATCTGATCACAGATACAGAACAACAACACCTGGACTCTGTTTTAATCATTCTCTGGGACTTTAATAAAGCAAATCTCTCACTGGAGCTCCTCAGGGTTGTGTTCTCTCCCCACTGCTCTTCTTCCTCTACACCAATGACTGAACGTCTAAAGACCCCTCTGTCTCCTGAAGAGCTCCTGAAGTTTGCAGACGACACCACACTCATCGGCCTCATTTAGGACGGTGATGAGTCTGCTTACAGACAGGAGGTCGAGCAGTTGGCTGTCTGGTGCAGTCTCAACAACCTGGAGCTCAACACGCTCAAAACTGTGGAGATGATCATGGACTTCAGGAGAAACCCCCCTGCACCTATTGTAATATACCTGCACATACAACTGTCAATTTATATATTTTTATTCCTTATTTACTTGTTTTTTTGTTCTGTCACTGTCATTCTGTTACACTGTGGAAGCTTCTGTCACAAAAACAAATTCCTTGTATATGTAAACATACCTGGCAATAAAGCTCATTCTGATTCTGATTTTCACAGATTTCTAATGTTGTTTCTACATACTATTATAAGATGTAATATATAATGTATTTATATAATGTCACATTTAGTTTTGTGTTTGTTTGCTTAGTGATTCTTTTTTATATTATTGCATTTTGTTGTATTTTGTTCCTTTCTCATTTTGTCTATTATATTCCTACAGTATAGAGTAGTAGAGTTTTAGTATTTGGTTGTCTAAATTCGTGAATGGTTTGTTGTCCGATGCATTTCCCTGAGTTCAGTCATCTTCTTCTGAATCCTGCTTCCTCACTGCCCTTCAATACAATCTCTGACAAATGTTTTTTTTGTTTGTTTTTTTAGAAGTATATAGCTACTACTACTAATAAAAATAATTTTCATTGCATATAATGCATTTTTATTATATTCTTTCAGGATCACATCACCAAAGCCTGTGTCTGTTGTTTCCTGTGTGTCACCAAAGCCTGTGAATAGCGCTAGCGAGCACCCGATGTAAAGTCACGTTTTCAAAGAAGAAGAAGATGTCACGCTGTTAGGATTGTTCCAACATGTCTGAAGCGTGCTATCACATTGTGTTTATTAATTTTACTGCTCAGCTAACTGAGAGGTGACACTGCAGAGTATATTGTTCAAGTGTTTATATGTGTAATCGCTTTGTTAGTTGAATTGATTCGTTACCATACAAATAAATAACTGCTCCGGCGCTCCCGCGGACGGTTCGCTTGCCTGCAGGTAACGTTACTGAGTGTGGATGAACAAAATCATGATATCAAAAAGTAATTACTGTTTGCTTATTAATATGATAATGTTCTGTAACTGGGCTTTCAGTCATTGATTTAATTATATTCTCAAAACTGTCAAATTAGATAAAATATAAATATTTAGGTGCCTTTATTGATTTTGCATTTATCAAATATTTTTGTTGTATAGATTTGATGCTTAGTTATAATGTGAGTTTAAACCCCAGTATTCATACCTGTCAACCCTCCCGTTTTTCCCGGGATTCTCCTGTATTTTACCGTTCTATCCCACTATCATCCAGTTTAAATATTTTCCCGTATTTTTAATCATTCTATTAAAAAAATCCCACTGGGTGTATTTTATATGTTTGCTACATTCGCTTACGGTAAAACTCCCGTAATTTGTATGGGCCAAACATCATTATATGAATAATCACGACAACAAATTCCAAGGTTGTCCAGTTGCCAGATCTTGTATGAAACGCATCTTTCTCACAAGATCGACGCATACCAATTTCAACCCATTTGTCCCCTCAACTTGGCAACCTACAGCCCAGTGATGCTATTGATATGTGCGCTGGGAGTACCGGGGGAAGGAAACAGTGATCACTGGTAGAAATGGGAGAAGAAGACCCAGGTGGCACTCCAGTGAAAAAAACTAAACATACATGTAAATTGAGATATAGCTTACACTTAAAAAGGCTATGGTTTAATTGATTAAATATGAGCGCTGCAAGTTTCAAAGACAAACTGGAAGAGGTAGGTATAGTTTGAGACAGCGCCATTGGTTTGGGATTACTCACCGCTGACTGGACGAGACATCTGTCAATCAACGTATACATGGAAGAACCAGCCGATGAACAGCAGAGTCGTGGTAGAAAGTTCGGAGATGGTATTAAAATAGCTCAGTTTAAATGTATTGTATGAATTGCCCTTAGTATGGAATAAAAAATATGGGGTGTATATTTACATTTAGTTAAAAGTGGCTGTAAACCATCAGCTCCAGTAGTGCAGATGGATAAGTGTGTGTCGTTGGCTTTATGACGCAATCGACCCGGGTTCGATCCCGTCTTTTGCCGAACTTTTTTTTCCTCCCTTTTCAAATCTATTACAATTACAATTATTATCAATACCCCCCCCCCTTCCCGTATTTTGGTACCCAAATGTTGACAGGTATGCCAGTATTACAGCGCAGCGTCACACAAGTCTTGATACAAAGTTACGGAAACTAAGCTACCGAAAGCAATATCTGTCTTCCTCAGATGTAATGTTAGTTCTGTACTCCAGCGTCGAGTAAAACAGCATTATAATCTCCTTTGTGGTAGAGAAAGCTGCTTACATGTAGGCTACAGGAAAAAGCGAGGATGTTGAATTAAACATACACACAATCAGTTTTTCCACACATTTATACTGGCTCCGATAATCAAAACTTCTACTTAGCGCTTGCTCCATTTCTGCAGATTGGAATTTTCTGACTTAATCCACCTGTTGCTTTGGTCTTCATCAACAGTATTCTGTTACGGAACTGTTCAGAGGCTGAGTGAGGATCCAAATGCAGTGTTTATTAGAAAAGTCCAGAATCAAAATCAGACAGCAGGCAAGGGTCAACACACAGGCAATCAGTCCAAAAACCAAGATACATAGAAACAGAAGAGGGCGGAGACAGAGAGCCGAAGAGCCGGGGTGACACTGAGGGATCGGAGGGCCATGGTGGAGCCAACAGCTCTGGCGACCGAGGTGCTGGTGGGGATCCAGAAGGCCACGGTGGAGCCGGAGCGACCGAGAACCAAGGCAGAGCCGGAGGGAGAGAGGAGCCCAACGGAGCTGGAGGGACGAAGCGAAGCCAGAGAAGTGTAGTCCTGAGGCGAAGGCGGGTCAACGAATGACCAAGGTGGAGCCGGAGGAATGAGAAAGCCCGGTGGAGCTGGTGGACTGATGGGCCACAGTGGAGATGAGGGAGCTTGGAGCCAAGGCGACACCAAAGGGTCGATGGACCAAAGTGGAGTCCAGGTCTCAAAGGCCGGAGACCTGGGATCCTCCAATCCTGGTGTAGCTGAAGGCTGGCTGGCCCGAGGCGAATCCGTAAATGAGACACAGGTGCAAAGAGTGAGTGTTGATGAGTCCGGGCAAAGAATTATGGGAAATTAAGTTTTTGAAGGAGTGGTAAAGTCTGGGATGACAGAACAAACAGCATGACATGTAGAGGAGGAGGAGGGAGAGGGAGGTTGGGTGGGACAACAAGATCATAACAATGCTCATTAAGCGTAGCAGATGTAGCGAATCAGCTCATGGGGAAATATGAATAATTAATCATAACTAGTTATAATTTATTATAAATATTTAGATCTGCTGTAGATATTTAGCTGACCTCTCAGGGTCAACTGTCTGTCAATTCTAAGAACATTCATTTCCTGGTTAAGGGAAATAACTTTCTTACTGTACAATTCTACAATGAGCTTGTAGCATAAATCTGCATGATTAAGTGACTCCAGTTATGAGCAAACAATGAACAATGTCAAGTGTGATACAAGTAAGACTTTATTAACTACATGAACACTTAAACTGGTCTAACATACACATATACACACACATACAGTTTGTATAGGAAAGGGTTAAAGCTTAACGCAGTAAAGATAAGAGAAATAAGAATATGAAACTATGGTACCATTTGATATTCAGAATATTTACACCTGAAGTAAACATCAGATTCTTAGTTCAAACATACCTTTGTAAAAAGGTGGAAATGATACCTAATGTATCAATTAATAAGACTAAGATTGAATACTTGCACGTCTCGTCTGTCTGAAAGAAAAACTTGATGCAGTCTGAAGGTCCCAGTTGATCTTTGCTGAAGTTGGTTGATGAAAAAGAACCGGTTTGAGTCAGAGAATCTTGTTGAATGGAAAAGTCAAGGCCGAAACCTGGCACGTACTTAGGGGGTTGCAGAAGCGTTCTAGCTCATGTCTTCATCTTAGAATCTAACCGAACCACCGAATCCAAATACGAATTAATAGAGACCAAACACGTTATATGTAAGGTTGCATGAATGAGTGGTTCTATCTTAAGCATGCATAAAATAGTCTACAATACAACAGATAATATACAAGACAGCAATAATATACACAATGACCTGAAGGGTATGTGTGTTCATTCAAAGAAAGGTCTTCCTATGAATTAATTAGTAGAAAAGTCCATTTCTACTGTAGATTTTGGATTTCCTATGGAGATTGTAGTGAGAAAGGAGTTTCGCAACATGCCATTAGGTCGTAAATGGATCTGGTCAAGCAGAGGTGTCGTGGTTGCCATGGGGACCAGGGGCCTGTTCGGCTTCCTGGGGTGTTACGCATTTCGGGGGGAAGGGTCCATAGGTCCTCATATGGCTTGTTAACTGAGGGGTGTTACAGAGTATTTGTTAAATATAGCTAACAAAATATATATTGTGTGTTTGATTGGTCCAGACGCTACACAGAGCAGGTAGATAGTTCTGAAACGGCCTCCATTGGCAGAATAGGACAGGCTGAGAGTCCACATACAGCCTCCATAGCTGTGACAGGAGAGATAGAGAGTTCACATACGGCCTCCGTAGCCGTGACAGGACAGGAAGCGAGTTCACAGACAGCCTCCATAGCCGTGACAGCACAGGTAAAGAGCTCACAAACGGCCTCCATAGCCGTGACAGGACGGGAAGTGAGTTTGTGAATGGCCTCCGTGGCCGTGACAAGACAGTCTGTGAGTTTGTGAATGGCCTCTGTGGCCGTGACAGGGCAGGCAGTGAGTTCATGAATGGACCCCACCACCTCAGGAGGTTCTGCAGCGGGTGCCGCCTCCTCTGGAGGTTCTGCAGCAGATTCATACACAGGAAAGGCCTTAGGACCAGACTCATGGATAGGAGAGGCCTCAGGAGCACAGTATGCAGCCCACATGCTCAAAATGGCTACCGCCATTACAGGAAGGGCAGCAGAGTGTGGCATGACCTCCAAGATGGCGCGGCTTGAGAGCGCTGACGTCACATCACACTAGCAATCAGTCTTGGCCCAAGCTCCACATCCAACTCAGGCGTGTCGACCATCTTGGCCGGGGACTCAGGCGTGACGGCCATCTTGTGACAAGGCTCAGGAGTGGAGATTACTATGGGAGAATCGTTCTCCTCCTCTGCAATTCCTATGGTAAAAGCAGAGCCACTCAGCTGTAATGCAATGTCAATATTCCAGTGCCCAGTTAGGGTCATGCAGTGGCATGTTTGAACTGAGAGGTTCAGATAGGCCCCCTCAAAAAAATATCATTAAGCATATTTCATCTAACTGAGTCACGTGTGCCAGTTCAAGGAAATCCACAACATAATCCTCAATGGAACATGTATCTTGGCGAAGTCTTCTGTTACGGAACTTCTCAGAGACTGAGGGAGGATCCAAATGCAGTGTTTATTAGAAAAGTCCAGAATCAAAATCAGACAGCAGGCAAGGGTCAACACACAGGCAATCAGTCCAACTAAACAAGGCAGAGAACACAGGCAAAGAGTCCAAAAACCAAGATACATAGAAACAGGAGAAACGCTCAGAGATGCAGTGTAACACTTACAAGACTTCGCAAAGAATGACAAACTAAACCAGACTTATATAGGGTGAGCAGACAGGGTAAATGAGACACAGGTGCAAAGAGTGAGTGTTGATGAGAACGGGCAAAGGATTATGGGAAATGACGTTTTTGAAGGCGTGGTAAAGTCCGGGATGGGATGCCCTCTAGCAAAGCTCACGGGCACTCCAGCTAGAGATCATGACACATTCGAATTTTAACCACTAAATTTGTGGAAGTGAATTTGGAACGTCAAATAAAATGGACTGAAAATTTGCCTGTCGAATATTATACATCGTATTTTTAAACAGATTGAATATTTTGGAAGTTAATTCTGGAAGGTGAATATTAATTATTTAATTTTTAATTATGAAAATGTGTGTGAAATATTTTGAATTGAAATATTCACAGCTTAAATAAACAACTATGTTAAATTTCAGGACCTAAAAATGCAAGCCCTGAAAATACAAGGCATTAAAATGCAAGCACTGTTAATGCAATGCATTATTTTTTTCAGTTAGTGCTATTCAACATTTTTTTGGTGTCAAAGACATATGGCATTATTTTTATTCCATAAGGTAGCTTTAAAATAATTATTATAAAATATCATGTTTAAATTGCATAAATTACATTTCAAAAATATATGGCTTTGCATTTTTTGACTAATCAATTTTGAGTATTCATAGTGTATGCTTGATTTTTATCATTAATTAAATTGATGACTCTTTCCCTGTAAGCTGTAACTTTGACATTTCTTAGATTTTTTCTTCTTCAGTATTTTCATTATTTTACATTTTAAAGCAGAATTTAAAGAGTTAGTCCATGTTTTACTTACCCTTAAGGCATCCTGGGTATATATGAACTTGTTCTTTCAGACGAATCCAATCTGAGTTGTATTAAAAATTTTACTTGCTCTTCCAAGCTCTATAATGTCATGTCATACAATGTCAATGTCGTGTTTTTGTTCAACAGTCCAAAAGTAGTCAAATAAAGAGCATCCATCCATATTAAAACGTGCCTCACACAGCTCCGGGGGATGAATAAAAGCCTCCTGTAGCAAATCAATGTGTTTTCGTAAGAAAAATATCCATATTTAAAACATTATAAATACCTTTCTTTCACGTCTGCTAACTGTCATACGCGGAAGCCATTCTGGCGGATGACGTAGGCGTACCACAAGCACCCGTGATTAGTGATGAACCGCGGAAGCACAGTGGAGAGACAGTAACAAAACGCCGGTCATGAATTAGATGTACAAAATTAGGATTTGTAAAGAAAAATTTTGGAACATTTCGATATAAGCCAAGAGGAGTTTTTCCTTGGTAAAGTAAGGAAACTTTGCTTCCTTTGCTCCTGTAAACAAACATTGGTTTTCGTGAGACTCACGCGCACATGCGCTACGCCATGTCCGGTGCATACACCGGAAAGGCAGTCTCTCATGAACTTACAAACTGTTTATATCGGTTTAAATTTTTATTTATTTTTTTTTTTTTTTACAAAAATGCACCGATTTGCTACAGGAAGGCTTTATTCACCCCCCAGAGCTGTGTGAAGCACGTTTAATATGGATGGATGCACTTCATTTGACTTCTTTTGGACGGTTGAACAAAAACACCCACCCATGTCATTATAAAGCTTGGATGAGCAAGGACAATTTTTAATATAACTCCAATTGGATTCGTCTGAAAGAAGAAAGTCATATACACCTGACCTAGGATGCCTTGAGGGTGAGTAAAACATGGGCTAATTTTCATTTTTGGGTGAACTAACCCTTTAAACTTAAGTGTAAGAATTTAACTCATTTTATCTGTAATGAAATTAATTATTATTATTTTAGCTCAAGTTTTGAGAGGAATCGATGTCTGATAAAGATTCGATGTTGATTTCTTCAAGTTGATCTGATTCAACTACTTAGAGCTTAAACTGTATCAGCGGTTCGTCCAGCAAATGTTAAAATCAGTATATCTTAATGATTCTGTTCATATTACTTCGTGGCCAATGACAACATAATCAAAATGGTAATCTTATTAATTTTGAGCAAGGTAACAAGATCTGGTCAGAGTTTTAACTTTAAAATTTCACGACACAAGACAATACTTCTTTATAAATGAAACAAGAATTTATTGGTTATTCTAGATTACATTAAACTAAGCTAAACACACACAGGTTTGTTTTTGTGAAAAGTGGGGACATCCCACAGGCGTAATGGTTTTTCTACTGTACAGACCGTATATTCTGTTGCCCTACACCAACCCTACCCCTAAACCTACCCCTCACAGGAAACTTTTTGCTATTTCAGATTTTCAATACACTCATTTATATGCGTTTTGAAAAGTGGGGACAAGGGTAATGTCCTGAAAAGTCACCTTCTCCTTGTAATACCTATGTCATACCCTTGTCATTATACAAATTTATGTCCTCATTTGTCACAAAAACGCACAAACACACACATACACACACACACACACACACACACACATACAGTTCTGAAGAATGAGAGTTAACGGAGTTTGCATGAAGTTCCCAAAGTTCTAACACTCGTTTTTCCATGAGTTCTTTAAATTCAACCTGAGAGAATCACAAAGCAGAGATTTATCTTACGTTTACGGCTTAAACTCAGTTCACCAGTTCAGCAAGAGATGAAAAGAGTTTGCCTGTTACTTGCGTTTTGCTGACAGCTGAATTGAGCTTGTTGGCTGCTTGAGGGAATCCCAGGCTTTCGGATTGGTTGCTGAGATGACGTCTGGATGACATCCTTTTGGGAGAGCCCTCGATGGTGATTGGTTGGTTTCCTGGTGACGCAGAGGCTTTGGCAGTTCTTCTGAGAGAGTTTAAGTTTGCAAGACTTTAGGCTTTTGAAGATCTCTGGCAGTCACAAAGTTTCAACTGAAGTGTTTGAGTTTTGGAGTCTCGCTCGTATGATGTTACAGCATGGGAGCGCTTTGTAGCGTGGTCACCAAGGCGAAAAGCCATAGGTCTAGAGGGTTAGGCGAGCGAGCATCTGTTCAGGCATTGGGTTTTTAAGCAAGCCCGATTTGGTCCATCCCACGATGCGATCTTCCAATCGACTTGTTGCCAGGCGAAGCGTGCATACATTAACATGATGCTTCAATTTATCATGTGGGGAAATTAAGATTTGGTTGATATTTATAAAAAGGGTTGTAATTATGCATATGATACCGAAAATGAACATTTCATTCCCACTAAGTTATTGCTAATGACACGAGCTTCCATTTACCATCAAACATCAGGTATTTTGCATACTCATTAATAGTCTTATCTACTAAAAGGAAAAGTTATAAGGCAAAGATTAAAATATCATAGGTTTCAATAACACATCAAACAGAAAGCATAGAAAGGCACAAATCATATTATTTGGGAATATAGTTGCCCTTTTATACTTTTAATGATTGTCTTTTGAAATTGTCTGTTGTAAGTTTTATGTCCCTTTGTCTGACGAAGAGAGAGAAAAGGGTGCGTCCCTTTTGGAATGCAGGGAGAAAAGGGGAGGTGTCCTGAGGTCATGACCTTGTCACGGGTGTAGATCTGCCATTCTTCACTCTCGGACATGGAGCTATTAATCTGTCGCTTTCTGTTTATCGGATTATCAATTTATGCGTTAAACGGACATGGGGTCCGGGCGTGTCTGTCGCTGGAACATTTCCAGATGCCATGTTCTTTGTTCTGTTGTTTATTAGATGGTTTATTTATGCTGAAGCCGGTCAACGTTACACTGCACATCTGGTCCTCGAATGGGTCTTCAGATAGAGGGAATTTTCTTCTCTCCTGGTGATTGAGTTAGGGCTTAAGCAGTTCCGATCCCCCTAAGGGATAAAAACCATGCCTTGACCGGAAACAGGTACAGACAATTTGGTACCCTGTTGACCATTGATCTTCTTTACGACCACAGATAGCTGGGGAGGAGAATCTTTAGTTTTTTTCAGTGGAATGCGGAGATTCAATTGTTCATTTGTGTCTGTTCGCAGAGGCCCTACTTAAGTTTCCATTTTGTTTGTGTGTCTTTGTGTATCATGCTGTTTGACACTTGACTTGACAGCATGTCTCTCTGTCTTTTCATTTCCAAACAGAGATCCACGGCTGGGTTGGCCATTCCATTATGTGCCTTCCAGGGCACCGTTTCCCTCCATGCCCCCACGGGCAAAACACTGTCGCTCTCCACTTATGAAGTCAGTAGCGATGGCCTGAAGATCTCCCCCAACAACGCCAAGAAAGTTGAGGTGTACCGCTCCAAATCGGTGGGTCACGAACCTAGCGCTGAAGAGCATAACTCTAGCACTGGGGGTGGTGGAGTTGGAGTTGGGGGTGGAGTCGCAGACACCAACGTAAAAATTCACCTGGAGGTTCTGGAGATCTGCGACAATGAGGAGGCCATGGACAGTGTGTCTATTGTCTCCAACATCAGCCAGTCATCCACACACGTACGCTCACCTTCACTACGCTACTCTCGTCGTGAGAACCGCTTTGTCTCGTGTGACCTAGGTGAAACGGCCTCATACTCGCTGCTGATCCCCACAAGTAACCCGGATGCGGACAACATTAACATCCACATTCCAGATACAGTGGAAGCGCATAGACAGAACAGCCGGAGACAGCACCAGGAGGCTGGAGGTTACCAGGAAGAGATACAGCTGCTTAATGAAGCCTATAGGAGGCAGGCAGGTGATCAGGGGAACTGAAATAACCAGAAACACCAGGATAGGCCAATGGGCTGAGAAATCCCTAGGAAGAAGTATAGAAGGTTTGGATGAAATATTGTGATAAAAGCTCATAGAGTTGCAAGGTCATTGTAGATTAAAGCAACCAGACTTAAAAATATTATTATCTAAGCACAACAAGAGTAAGCAGCGAGATCAGATGTTGCAATGTGAAAATCCAGTTTAAGGAATCACAGGAGAGGCATTTGTCTGCTAAACTGTTTGCTTTAGTAAGCAATTGTGGGATAAAAATAGGCTGGACGCATGATGAGATGTAGTAAATTAATTTAGAATTAAAATTCAAGATTAGCATGCCATAAGGAAGAGCTGGAGGTTTGGAAAGGGAAATGTAACTAAAATGTGATCAGAGATGCAACAAATCTCAAGATGAGACAAAGAGTTGGTTTTTCAGATTTGCCCTTGATTTCAAGCCTCAGGAATGATAGATCAGGGGGTTACGGCAATAATGGTTACTCTCAGATGGTTAGAAGTGGAGATGTCTTCGTTTGAATGAAGCTTTGGAGAATAAAGCTGAAGCCCTTGAGTGGATGAAAGTGATGTATATGCTGAAAGGAAGGTTATTGGGTACAAAGTAGGAAGAATGGACTTAACTCGCTTCTCAGATATTCTGTCATTTATTGAATGCAAATATAAGTGCATAGACAGAAAATCTTCAGAAGAGAGTTGAATAGAGAAGGATAAATACTGTCATGAGTATGTGCGTTTGTGGTGAGAAAGACAATGAACAGGATTGCGAGGGCATATGTGCAAGGAAAAAACTAAAATAAATAAATTTTATTATTCTAGCTCAGGCAGAAACCATATGGCATACTGAAATAAAACATTCCAAATGTGTACTTCGCAATTTAAAAAAAAAATTATTATTATGTTGCTCTGCATCAGTCAAGGTGTATTCCCTTACTGTGTTGTCTAATGTGTGTGACTGTTTAAAGGAATGTTCTGGGTTCAGCACAAGTTAACTTGTACTTGTGGCATAATGTTGAATTTGTCCCTTCTATTCTTTAAAAAAAAAAAGCAAACATCTGGATTACAGAGAGACTTTAACATTTAAAAAGATGTGAATGTTAAAATGTAAATGTTAAAATAATCAACCAAAAATTAAACAGTGTGATAAAAACACAGACAAATCTCTTTTGTGTAAATTTCACTGCGAAGAAAACAACACCTAAAACCTTTTTTTTTCAAAGCAGACCTACCACACACAGTTTCTGCCAATCTCATGTTGATCTTGTGTACCTATACAGTATTATTGCATCCTTCATATCTCTGAAGAGTCTTTAATTTTGTCAGATTTATTAAAGACAGATACAGATATACCACTTCTCAGTCAAGCAGTCGAGATCCTGGGGGCGTGCTGTGGGCGGAGCTAAAGAGTCACAAGCATGCAAAGCATTTGTAGCAATCATCTGCAAGCTGTGACATCAACATAAACAAAACAGGAACAAAAACTTAATTGGCTAAAAATCAGATCCAGCCATATATACATATCTGATCCAGAATCGGATCCTGACCTTTATGATGTCATACAGGGCCATACTCAAAAAATAAAAAAAACTTTCTGAAACTTAAACAAACCCCGAAGGAGTGTCTTTGGCACAGAAATATGTCCAACTCGTTTTTTGAGACTTTGGTCATGTTTAGCATGAGAATCCATCACTTTAGCACTGTAAATAAGTCAGAAAGCATGAAATAGCATAAGACATCCCCTTTAAAGAAAACTAGGAAAAAGGTGAAAATTAATTATTCAACATGTCACATGTAATGCCACAAATGCTGTTGATTAGGCCCAAAATATTCCTTTAATTGCAATCTTATATGTATGAATATGTAAATGCTGATAGCTGTATGTACAGTATGCTTGCTTCTGTATGTGGGTATTTCTACATCTTTTTCGTTGTACTAAAGCCCTGAATTTACGTTCTGCTTTATATGCATTCCCGACATGACTGCTGAGAAAAAGCGAAAGAGATTCTGTCAATGGAACATTCCACAAATGTAGATGTGAGCGTGATGCATGAGCCTATTTTAGGTGTTAATTTGTGTGCGAATGTGCTCATTTTTGAGCTACTTAGGAATTTTCAGCGCACTGCTTCTGCAATCAGAAACATGACCCTGGCCACTCGCTCGCATTTAATACTGGCATATATTCAGCTCTCAAATGGACCATTCATGGACGATTCAGTGGATCCCAGTAAAATGAAGGCATGATTACGCTGCTTTTCATTTGAGCTCTGCCGTATCAGTATGTGAATCTACTATTTAAAAATGTGAAAATTAAATGCAAAGGCCATTCGTGGAGGCTCATGTAGCTCTAATAACACTTAATAATTCACTGTACATATGATTTCTTGTTTTTTAAATGTCAAATGTCTGTCTGTGTGTGTGTGTGTGTGTGTGTTTATATATATATATATATATATATACATATATATATATATATATATATGTGTTAT